CTATATTGATTTATAGTATATATATATGTATATATATATATATAGTATATACATGTATATATTATATATATATATATACATATGCGTATATATATATATATATATATATATATATATATATATATGTATATTCCTATGGGAGACGCTTAAGGCATTGAAGCATATCAGAAAAATATTTGATATCTTGCGTCCGTTAAAGGGGCTGGTGTTGTATTGATTAAGAAAAAAGATTATCAGAGATTAAACAAAACTTCAGCATAAAAATAACAGATGGCTTTGACACTGCTGAAATTTATACTAAATTATTTACGAACAATTCACAGAAATAAGGATCGATAAAATATACGCCCTGAGCGCAAGCTTTCCGAATACTCTCAATGATTTTATGATCGGATTGATGGTTCACTGAAAAATGTTAGTGGTTCATCAGCAGTTAAAATAAATTTGATTGTCGATCTCTGTGAATGGGTCGGTTTATTAATAATTGATCACAATACAATATTCTATGTCTAGACATACCATAATTTGTTTTGTTTTTGTTTTTTTACTAATGAAAAAATGATACAAGTCACATGAGGATTTTACCAGTGAGGTTTGTGAATTATTTTCTGCATGTTTTTTGGTACGCCGACTTTTTAATAATGGTGTAAAAAGGCGTCTAAAAGCTATTGAAAAAACATAGGAAGACGACTTAGCGGCACGATTTTCAGGAGTTCTTTTATTTTCGTAACTATAGGCGATGACGCCTAAACGGATATAAAGGATTTTAATTATGCAAAATCAGAGATTGTATCATCACCGGCATGACTTTAGATATACATCTCATCTCAAAGGTAAAAATGTTTAAGAATGTAGCCTTATAAAAGCGTTACTAAGCCTATAGAGATTATGTTTAAATTTGCAAGAATATGCCTAATTCACTTAGGCCTATATCTTTACGTCTTTTTGATTCAATTTTTAATAATGGCTCTCTCTAATTTAACAAAATAATAATAATAATAATAATAATAATAATAATAGTAATAATAATAATAATAATAATAATAATAATAATAAATAATAATATTAGTAATAGTCAATGTAATGATAATAATAATAAAATAGGCCTAATAATAATAAATAATAATAATTAATAATAATAATAACAATGGTCATTTAATTTATTCAATTTTAACTAATCTGCAGTGATTTTATAACGATTGATAATTAAAATACACGATTAAATTCAACACTCGCTGTAATTGTTGAAGCATAATGTTTTGTGTTTTGTTGCTTGTACCACTATGGGGGTATGAATCATGGCTCAAACTTGATCACTGGGTCGCGGGATAAAAAGTTGGCTGTTGGTCCAGAAGTCCTATTGAAATAAAGGAAAATGGGATAGAACAAGGTTCAATTGAAAATGAAGATTTTACATTTGAATTTAATCCTACATTCTATTGTACTTACACTATACATTAAATCATTTAGTAATCTTTGGTATTTTTTATTAATATAAATAGTGCCAATATTTTCTTGCTTACAGAATAAGAATATTTAATAAAACCATAATGTAAAGTATAAGCCAGCGATCCCTGTCAATGGGAATGAAGTGGATTGGATAAAAATAAATAAATAGCTTGCTTTATCATTTAAGCATGGAGGGGAAGTAATTTATCTAGTTTGAGTTTCGTCGAGTGGCAGCGTTCTGTGTTACCATGAACCTATAATGATTTTATTCCAAGTTGGTAATATTATCATTTTACAATAACACTAGAACACAGTAATTAAAATGAAGGAAATCAAAGGCGTAGACAAATGGAGACTTTATAGGCAGGGTTCTCAAAAGTCGTAGCTCTACCAGGAAGATGGCCCAACTGCATATCCCCCAACTAAAGATCTTTTCTACATACAAAGCAAAGATCTTATAAACACAAGATAGCGTTCTCCGCGATTTACGTGTAACAAATAGAAGCGTCGGTCAAGGTTCAAAAGCTTCCAATTTAGCATGGAGAAAAAGTAATCAGTTTTGGAAGAGGGCGTCCTATCTGTTGCCATGGATCTGAGATGGTTCCTGTTCTGCTGTTCACAGGATGAACCCTAAAGGTAGAGTCGCGCGCTGTACGGTATGTTCAGAGCGGTCAAGGGTCAAAAGTTTCCAATTTAGCAAGAGGGCGCCATTCATGCTTATTACAGTATTTGCACGCGTAAATCGCGGAGAACGCTATCTTGTGTTTATAAGATCTTTGATACAAAGCAAAGATACTAGAAATACAAGATAGAGTTCTCGCATTGTAAAAATGAGGCGGAAGTCGTGCCCAACGTAGGCGGCGCCCTTCTTTTTAACCATGCAAGTTTCCTATACTTCGTGCCCAACGTACAGGGCGCCCTTCTGTTGCTAAGTATATCCAGACGCAAAAGGCGCCCTTCCTTTTCCACTAACGGAGGAAAACTTTTTCACTGAGAGTGCGTCCGGCCATGCGATTCTGCGCTGTATTGTTTTATTCTTTACTGATTCATGATTATGCTTTAATTGTTTTGTGTATTATTTGGATAATAGCAACGATTTCTACCGCCACCAAGGAGGCTATGTATTCACCAATGTCACTGTCTGGGTGTCTATTCCAGTTTGTTTTTTATATCTAGTATTTTTGTTGAGAATTGATAATGAAATACGCGACGACTTGGTAACGAAAGTTTGGCACAAGTTTTTTTAGATCCAGCTGTAGGGGGCGTCCCATTTTTCGTATTCCCACCATGCAATTCGGTGGAACACGGTGGAACACTTTTTTTGTGTGGAGAACTCTATCTTGTACTAGTTTTTCTTTTCTTCTTGAAAGCCTGGCAACTTTCAGATTCACTGCACGCCGCCCTCATTGACAATTTCTACATTTGTTTATAAAAATAATGATTCTGCTGCTCCACTACCGCTGTACTGACAACTGAGTAGCTAGATTGTTTATGTTCTATAGGCCTAGTGTTCAACGTGAAATGTTTGGAAGTGTTCAAAATATGAAATACGAGTTTAGGCCTATTTGGTCAGCTAGAAAACAATGAGCTGGTTGAATTCTGTCTCTTATACACATCTAGATGTGTATAAGAGACAGGTAGTTGGCGTCCTACACTAGCTGCGTAGAGCGTATCGTTTTTTACGCTCCCAATGAGCGTTGTTGGCTCTCTTGTTCTATTTATACTCTTTGATCACTAGAATAAAAAAGTAAACATTTTCATTCGGTTGCGGTTTCGCGACTTCAGGAAGAAAGTTTGGATCATATTTTACATGTAAGGCAAAGTTTACTAATATAAAGTTTATTTCGTCAAAGCTTGATCAAACAGTACTTTTATATGTACTTAAATCGATTGGCTAGTAGAAGGTTTGTAGTCTAGGCTAGCAGAAACCAGTGATGAGTCAGTGTGATGATGGTGTTTGGCCCTCTCGGTGGGACTTAGTTAATGGGAGTGTGCCGTCAAATCCGTGAATTCAAGCCTGGTAGGCTAGGCCTATCCCTGACTTTTGCGACCCTTTTGTCCCTGATACGTTTTAGCTTTGGGTCGTTTCGTCATGGGTTGTTACGGTCTCTTTTTAATTACCTTATTAAAGGTTAACTTATAATAGTCTTTTAACTTAGTAATATAGCAGTGGTCTGGCCAGCCAGACCCTACTGTAGGCTAACCTAATTTTCTAAAATATCTATATATGATTGAAAACTGATTTCTTTTATATATTTGTCATGTTCTGTCATATTATACAGCATTAAAATTTAATGACTTATGTAGTTCTATATTTAGTATTTTTTTACATAATTGTAGGGTTTTTTTCTAACTTGTTTAGGCATGTGTGTGTTGCGTTATAGGATGTTAAACTTGTTTGGTATTCTCATAACAGCTTAAGACTGTCCTTACACAATACATCGTGTTGGGCCATGTCGTACGGCGCTGTCAGAGCTAGCCTTTATTTTATTTAAACTTGTGGAGATTTAATTATTAATATTTAGGCCAAGTATATGCCAATAGAGAACTTAAATCAGCAAAGTACTATTATTATTGTGGCAATCCTTTATCACAAGAAAATGTACACACAATGTGCTCTACACAAACTACTGTAATTTTCATTATGGGAGTGTGATAGGAATTGAACCTGGGACCCTGGGATTAGAAGGCAAGCAACTTAGTTGCAAGTTAGATGGTAGAGTGGTTAAGGCAGGGGTGCCACAGCATATCGGTACCGGTTAAAACAGCATGCTCACCTCTGGTTCTGGTGTTGGAACAAGATTTGACGGAAAAGGACTGTAAACTGTAGGCCCACTGCAGTGTACACAATTTGGCTTGTGCACTTTAAAAGACCCAGATGTTTATATCGTTAATGCATCTAGTCCTTCATATAAACGTAGTGAATAAACAGATAATTGCATGCTCACTTTACATAAGCCCTCTGTAAACACGCTGGTGTTCATAGAAAGTACATGGCATTCATTCAATAGTGGAAAACACCCTTGCATAGTCACTGCAGGAAACAATCAGGCCAATACACAACAATAGGTTGAGTGTACCATGTTAATCTGCAATCAATGTGTCAGTGTAAGCCTATACACACGTAACTGCTTAACACTCTGCTTTAATAAGAGACCATATTCTGAAATTTATTTACTGTATTATTTTTGGGATGTTTGTTTTACTGTAGATCCTGTTCAGAAAAGGGTAGGTAAAAGCACAGTACAATTTAAATGAATGTACAAAATGATCTGTAGGCCTATTCATATTATGCACATTTATTTTTGAAGTTGAAGATGAGCTCCTCAGAGTTAACGGCCAACCACTAATTAGTTTAAGGAATAGTAGTAGTTTAGTCTCATTGTTATTATTGTTATTATGATTACTGTATTATTTTTATTTTATTTTATTGTTATTATTTTATTGTTATTTGCATTTTCTCAGTTGGCCTATATTATTTCTTTGTAAAGCGCATAGGGGCAATGTGCAATATGCGCTATATAAATATAACATTATTATTATTATTTAAAGTTGGAAACATTGAATTACACTGCTATTATTATTGCCTAACTTGTTGGTGGACCTTGTTTAAATACAGGTATATTGTTGGCTTATACGTAGGCTCATGTATTTGTTCTATACTGTATTAGTTCCAATGCCATATTTTTTACTTGATCGAGATTTGCAATTTTTATTTCAAGGTTGCCTATACTCTAGTGTTTGAAATGGATTTTTTGTAATATTGAAATTGGTCTTTTTTTTTTGTTGATTTTTAAAAATAATTCAACTTTAAGCTTAGTTGAAATAATATACAGTATGATATCGATTTCTGTTTGATTTATTTAATAATATCAGTGTTTTATTGCCTATGGTACAGTTATAAAAAATGTAATAAAACATTAATTTCCTAAATTATAAATGACTGTAAGTCATCAACCAATTAGACTCGTATCAAATGCCTACAGTAATTTAGTTTCCTAAATTATCAATAGCTAGGTTCATATGGGATTATAGCCGGATGAAGTAGCTGATCTACTTGCCAAGTTAATTGGATTAAATCCACTAATCGCATTCGATGTTAAGGTTAGAGCGAGATATTTTGACTACCAGAAATTCGGAAAACACATCATTAGACAGGAAGTACAATCGCATGGTGGGTAATTACTGTTGATTTTTGCGCGACTAGTTTATGCTAGATCAAGACTATAGGCGTAAGCTAGGCCTAGGTCTCGTCAGTTGATTAGACTGGCCGAGGAGTCCAGCTGGAGGGTTTACACTGGTTTTCCCCCAAGTATTTTGTTTAGTGCATGGTAGCTGTCTCTTATACACATCTAGATGTGTATAAGAGACAGATGTATGTTACTACATTTTCACCAATTTCAAATT